ACCAACAGTTTTATACTCTTAAGTTTTTAAATTTTTTTTTTGTACTTTCTTTTTTTGTGTATGCACACATACAGTTACAATATTTTATGTTACGAATTCATGTTAGTATAATTATGTGGAAAAGTACTGTTATCCTTACATTAATATTTTGATATGTATATAATATTTGTGTATGAATAACATAAATACAACAGTAATCTACTTCAGTACAAAAGCAGTAGCAAATACACTATTTTAATCCTAAGGGACAGACAATATGAGCTAGATGAAAATTAAAATTTTTTTCAGCTAAGAAAAGATTTTATGATAATTAAAATATTCAATACAAAGTGAGAATTGGGAAACATTTTTAGAGTTCTACATATTATTGGGAAAACTTTTTGTACGAGAAAAAACAATGTTGCATAAGGTACATGAAAATGAGTCTCATATATGGGTAGTGAATATTTATATGCGAGTATCCTAGTATCCTACACTAACGTTTAATTTTTTCAACTGTTTGTATTTTTCGAAAATATGAAATAAAAACTCGAAACTGAAGTATTTGGTGTTTGTCATTTATCTAAAATGTGGGTCCGAATATATGTGCTTCAATACTTGAATGTATATATACAATGTTCTTTATAGGTATCTGGGTTGAGAAATAAAATTAAAACAATTATGAAACATTTAAGAAACTTTATTAATAAAAGCTATAAATAAATATCCACGGTTAAAACATAAATGGTTTTAAAGTATTTTGTTAATGCAATCGTAGTTAAATTGCTTTCTAGCAGTTCGCCTAACAATCTAATGAATGTTGCTAACTCAGACATATAACATGGCATCTTATGTAGCTGTTTAGTATTTATATGAGAAGAATCAGTCACAGTTCAGATTTTAGAAGTTATAAATAAGATCAAATTTTAAAATTGCGTCAAAAACACTCATATTCTTAGATTAAAAACTGACACAGGCCACCGGCTGAAAATACCAAAATTTTTACTATACAAAAATCGGTATAAAATTTTATCACATGACATTCCAACCATCTGGCTATAGGAATAAGGTAATAGAAGTGATATATGACATTCAAGTAAGTGTTTTTTATATTAAATCATTATCCGAATAAACACCATGGCACCGGTCCTTTAACCGAAGAATCCCGACTTCAAACCCCGATCAGGTCACTATAAACATTATATTCAATATTATATAACTTAATGTACAGTACTAATAAATATTATACAAGTATTTTCAAATATTCGTAATATTCGATATTAAAAACTAAGAAAAATAAACAGTTAATATTAATAAAATTAAATATTTAATATAAATAATATGGCAGGCTAGTCACCTACCTGGTTAAATCTATGACGATATGAAACTAGGGCATGATATCATGCACTAGCCGTATGCTCCTCCTATAGGAGTGGTGAAGGAGAAACAAAAAAAAAATCCGAGTAAACCCTGTGAATAAGTATGTACCCTTTTAATTTTGATATGGAGGCTTTCAAATTTGAGTAATTTTACCCATACAAAACCTTGTGTTTCAAAATTTAATTCTTGATATTTTTGCAAATATTGTATTTATTGGAAAATGTTAGAAAATTTAGTTTTTTTTTAGATTAATTGTGTTATATCTGCCAGATTACATTAAAAATAAAATTCTGCGTTCTAAAATCTTGAATTCTTTGCTTCTTAATTTTATGATTGAGAAGATTACTACCATGTCCCAAAAAAATTTACGAAATTTTTTCTCCAGTTGTGTTACCAAATTTTTTCTATGTGAAAAACTGTAATAATTGGGTGGTCGAACTTGTTAGATCGTCTTCGTTGGTAATCATACATTTTAAATGGTAGTCCCATTTTTGTCCCGGTCATGAATCGTGACTAATCAATATTATCTATTTATTATTACCTCTAAATTAACCGTTTGGTTGAAGGAATCATTCTAATAATAAGTGCAATTGATAATATTCTAAAATGCTCCACCACTGACATCGGATACAGTCTAAAAGTATCTCCGTTCTATTATTACAATAGGAATAAGCGTACATAATATATAGTATTTAGATATTATGTACATATATGGATGTATATATACATTTAGAGTGGAAAGCATAAAAGAAATGGGATAAGAAAAGAAAATCACAGAAAACGACAAAACAAAAGAATTTTTGTTTTCGAAAATATTGTTGTTATTTTTTATGTTTATTCAAGATATATGTATGTGTATGTATGTGGGTAAATTGTTTGTGTATATAAACTTTAAAAAAAAAAACAAGGATGTTTTATATGATGCTGGTAATTGTTATGAGGTAGAAAAAAAAAACAACAATGCAATTTCATAACAGTTATTTACTGTACAAAATATAACAATTTTATAGCAGTTATGTTTTTGTTTGTTCTTTTTCTCTGTTTCTTACAATTTCTAATTTAAATATGGTCATACGTATGATACCATACATTGTTGTATTAAAAATGTTATAAAACACAATATTCTTTCATACCGTTTGTATGGTTGTGTATTGTAGGTAAAAATATATGTGTTTTGTTTTTGGTTGGGTTTGTGATTAAAATTTAGGTTATTTACTTTTTTTTTTTCGTACATATGGTTGAGTCCATTGTATTTTTAGTAATTTTTGTTTATTTTTTGTTTTTTCTTAAATTTACATAGTTATAGAGTTTTAAGAATAATACAATATTGTTTTGATTATTTTATATTATATACTTTTTATTTTTATATATACCAATATTATTATTACATATTTACATATATAAAAACTATTAGGTTAAATAAAAAAGAAATTAAAAAAAAAAATAAAATAAAGCGTCTAGTATAATTAAAATATTTTTACTAACTTTTAGATTTCATAAGAAATTTGATAATTTTCTAATATAAATATGTATGTATATGAAAAGTACCGACATATTGTATGAGGTTAAGGATGAAGAATAGGTATATGAAATAAGAAAAATGGTTAACTTAAAATTATGAGGTAAGAGCTTGATTATGTAAATTTAAAATGAGAAAATTTAAAAACAAAAATAATTTTAATATATGGAGGAAAACTGTTGCTTTTGAAATTTTTCTATTATACATAGAAAATCATAGTGAAATACAAACGAAACAAAAAAATGCATACATAAATTAAACCCTTAAAATATTTTTTACCTTTGAGAATTTAAAATAATCAAATATATATATATATATATATATACAAAATTACCATGAGAATTCGTTTTGATTTTTAAAATAGCTATCCAAAAGAGAAAAAAAAAACAAGTGAATTGGAAAACTTATCTATCCGGAATAAAAATAATTTTCATATTCGAAAAAAGAAGAGAAAACTTATACTCGTATTTAAATTTTTTTATGAGAATTTCATATATACTTTCAAAGCACTGTCAAAATCAGTCATTTGATTAATCAAAATATGAATGATATAAAAATTTACATTTTGTTAAGTTTTTTTTACCAAAAGAACGGTTGGGATGATTAACAATATAATTTTCTATAATTTAATAATATTTTTAGAATTTTTAATTATTTTTATTATAAATGAAAATTCTTCTGGAACTGAAGGTTTTTATGCCTAAACTACATTTTTCATACCTAAATGTAGTTTAGGCATGAAAACCTTCATTATAAATAATTTGTTTTTAAACAGCAGTCTAATATAATTATACAGAGTGTAACAAGTTTTTAATAAAAGCAATTAATCTCGGAGTTATTAAGATTGCTACGAATAGAATATGATAAATTAAAGACAAATAAAATAGTGCAATGGAAAAAATGTATTATAAAAGCTTTCCAAAATTTGATTACGAGAATCATTCCATCACAATTCTATAAAATTGTGGTTATTTGAAAACGCGACAAATGTGTAATACTTCTATTCATCATTAAAATTAGAATTATGTATAAACTAATTGGTTTCAGAAAAAATTATTTACCTCTTTGAGGAGCTTTTCAGATTTTTAAGGCCCTTAAACAGAAATTAAACTCAAATAACATATAAAGACATTCTTCTATTTTGGTTTTCTGTCTATATTTTTAATTGTTAATAATTTCTTAGTCCTTGTGCTCTTTACAGACCGCATTGCATGCAATAAGGAAGATTATATGATGGTATCAAATTTCGGATGTCGAATTTTCGGTATGAATGCACTTCTTCATAGTAAGGAAGCATAAATAAGCTATTTTTAGAGAGATATCAGTTTGTCTTTCTGTTAGTCTGCCTGTCTGTCTGTTTGTCGGTTTGTGTGTACGTGTGTATCTCAAGTTCGGCTAAACCGATTTTCATGAAATTTTATATGTGAGTTCATTTCGGCTATGTAACGGATTGTTAAAACTATTGGGATATTTCAGACCTCCGGACCTTTTTTCTTCTGTACCTTTTTGCAAGCCGATATCACATTTTTAATAAAGTAAAGAAAAATAATCAACCAATTTTTTAGAAATCTATAATTTGAATATGAGATGTCAAGCCACCAACCGGTGGTTAAATAAGAAAAATTCTTTTTCAAAAGCAATTGCATTAACAAATAAGATTAAGATAAAACCTAAGTCTTAATAAAACCTAAAAAATTCTTAATTAAAACCTATTGACCTTTTTTTGTCTTGCCAAAAAAATAAGAAAATTTGAGGTTTATTTGTTTCTGTTCATATTACTAATTTTTTATTCGTAAGACGTAAGAATATGTTCAATTTGACTCTAAATGAAATGTTGCAAATTTTCTAATTTACTAAAGAGATTCATTTTGGTAGAAATTTGTTTTGACTTCGGGTCTTATGCGTGATAATGTTCATTAAATTACTTTATTACAACAAAAAAATTTAAATTAATTTTTTTAGAAAAAAAAAAAAAACAAATCCATTTTCCTACACTAGTACGCGTACTACAAAAATTTCCATGAACCTTAATTAACCCTTTGATCAAATGGAAAAAAAAAAAAATTTTTGTCTTTCTTTTCATAAAAAGCCCGAATTCTATTTCAATTAGAAAGTATACACAATGGTAAATTCAAATAACCTTGATGAAACAGAACAAAAGGTAGAAGAAACAAATTTAAAAATGTCCCATAAGTTTCCAGTAGTTCCATAATACTTTTTTTTCTGCAAATCTACTTGAAAACTTAAAGAATTTGCGACAAAACACTATGATATTCGACAAGTAGTCTAGAAAAATTATATTTATAAAAATATACACAAACACATAGTATAGTAATATATGTATACTTAATCCTCAAGCTATTAATCTGATGATGAGTATAAAAAAGTGAAAAAAAGAACAATAAGAACAAACGATATTATTACCACAAGTCACAACACCAAAAAAATGAAGTACTGTCAACACCTATAGGAACATATTGAAATACACTCCTTTGTAATACCTATACATGTATATGAATGTATATGACGTATAAGCTATGAATAGAAATGAGAAAACAAAAAAAAAATTATAAAAAAAAATCAAATAAAATTTCAAGTGTTTTTCAGAGAAAATCAACGTTCAGGCTACTTTTACTTTATTATTGTAAGGGATGAAAACAACAAAAAAAAAAATCAAGTAAAACTTTTTCTACTGAGAAATAAAATATTCAAGGTGTTATAGTGGAATATTTCAAAAATCCTTGTATATATATGCACAAAAGATTCCTTAAACGAAAATTATCTAAGAAAGTAAACTATAAACCATTATATCCAGTGACATGCATTACATAAAAAGTGGAAAATATCATGAGACTGACTAAGTAGCAGTGCTCGGGTATCACACAAAAAAAAAGGATTTAAAATTCAAATATTTTGGAAACTTTTTTTCTTGCTGTTGTTGTTGTGATCTTTTGATGCTGAATTTTGCTTCTTTTTAGGTTTTAACCGCAATAGCATAACTTAGCAAAAGTTATTTTATGCAGCATATTAATGATAGTTGACAAATAAATTTAATAGTTTATATAAAAAAATGGTCATGTTCGTAAATTTTCCGGTTAAGTACAAATTTTTTGCATTTTTATAACAATTTAATTTTTCATTTATTTAATATAATTTGGAAAGTTTTAAAAGATAATTTTCAAATTACTTCAAGCTTCCCACAAGATATCAATGAATTCCACTCTTTAAGAATTTTTTTAAAAGCGATTATTAAATAAATTCAAGAAAGAGTAGGGAATCTTGTTATAAATTGTGCTTAGGTTATTAATTCTTAAAACTGAATTGAAGACAATTAAGTCTGATAGAATCATTTAGAATGGTTTTTGGAAAATATCATGGCTCAAACATAAATATTTCGCTAAATTGCAATTTTTAACCCGATCATTAATTTTTCGTCATATAATCGAGAAATTATTAAGAAATACAAGATGAATATCAAAATCATGTTATTAAAGTTGTATAGAATATTAAAACATGGCAAAAAAAAGAAACAAAACCTAAGAAACCGAAAAATTTTATAAGTTGGATTATTGTAGAATTTAAAAAATTTTTTTCCATTAGAATTACATACATTATGTATATACGATAGAAATTTTTTATGGCTATACAGGAATTTTCATTATGAACAAACTATTATATAACAAGTATAATATCGCAACACTTAAAAATCATTATAGAGGGATTTAGTTAGAAAGAATTTTGTTAGAAAAATAATATGATTATTTATGCGATCTTTTGAATAAACAGAATTTTAAGTATAGAAAAACGTAAAACCAATAAAATTAAGTTTTAATAAGAAATTATTTCCATGCTATGCAAATTGTAAAGGGTTGGTGGTAGGGTTTAAGTTAAGCTCCATAATTAAATTAGTGATGATTAAAATTAATAAGAATTTAATATTTGAAATTTTTTAGAATTTTTTAAGGATTTTTTACCTAAAATTTAAAAATTAAATTTAGATATAAGTTGATAAATTTACAATAACTAATTTTTTTAAAGAATCTCTTGCACACTTTTGACGTACTCAATTGACTCAAAATTTAAAATATTTGTTGGTAAAAATTTCACAGGCTGTGCAAATTAATTGCAAATCTTTTATTAAAAGCAAAAGAATTTTGAAAAAACATCAGGATTGAATTTTGAAGTTCTATATTCTTGATTATAATGCTGACCATGCTGTGCAACATAAACTTATAAAATATAGTTTGGCACTTTATTCTTACTGTTTTTCACACAATAAAATAATACAAGAAGTTATTTTCAATGCTAGAAATCTCTGGAACCTTATCTTTGCTACGAGCTGATTTTGCAATTTTTGACTGTATTTAAGAAATTAATCAGCGTATGTCCTCGATATTATATATGTAAATTTCGTGTGACAATATGAGAAACAACGAACCATTTGGTGCTAGCAACTTGATGTTTACTCCGGCTCAAATTTTTTAATGTTGCATATATTTTTGAAAATAATTAAATTGTAAAATTTTTGGGAATATCAAGGCTGGAAAACCTGGTCAAGGGTCGAATTTACATTTTTTATCATATAAGGAATTAACTGACGGAATTTTTTTAAATTTATTATTTCAGTTCTGTTTGCTACAGGATGGGATAACACCTGTTGAATTTATTTGAGTTCTTTGTTGTCTAATAGGGAATTCGAATGGCATAAAGTATCATTTAAAATTTGATAGAACGATTCAAAGAAAACTTTCATAATCTTACGGAATATTTACGCTAAATTAGCCAACATCTACATCTTGCTGCCGGTTATGTGCTATCATATCAGATTTTTTTGATTAACAAACACTTTATATGATATTTTAACATTTCGTTAAATTAATTTATAATATTAATCCTGCATTTTCTATCTTTAAATACCATTTTCATAATTATTATTTACATAGTCTCATGTTAAGTTAATAAAAACTTCATGACTTTACTTACGAAATTTTACTTATAATATTAACGAATAGCCAATGTAAAATGTTCTCACTCGTATTCGAAACAAATTTTTTTAATTATCTTCCTAAAAGTATGCTTTAAGATTATCAAATTAAATTATTACATCATTATATATGTATAAATGTGATTTCGATTATCTATATATAATTACTATTTAAAGATTCTTTTGAAGTATAACACATTTTCAATCAGATAACATTTTAATTGATTATAGATTAAATCTTTATGTAATTCAAATATAAGGATTAATGCATAACATTATTATATATATGTATATATATCTGCACGTCATACGCACATATATATAAAATGGTATGATTTATAAAATTAATTTCTCTTCATTTTCTTTCAATTATTTTTAGAAATTTATTTTATTTTGTAACATATTGCCTCAAAATGTACTAAGTAGATATTAAATGCGGGATAATGTGAAAATTATAATTAATTTGATGAGAATTTATCAAAGAATACTATAGAGAGAGAGAGAAAGAGAAGGAAAATAAAACCCAACATTTAATAATAATTTTTCATTCTGTTCTCAAATACATATATTATTAAGATAAGTATATAACACTGAAAATTATACATACATACAATCTTGCAATGTAAATGGCTAACGTTTTTATAATCTGATGTGTTAAAATATTATATAATTATTGTTGTAGTGTAAAGCAATGGTGCAACACATAAGGAAAGGTCAAACAAATGCTCCATACTTTATTTTATTAATTATTATTATAAATTTTTATATTTTATATTTAAACGAGCTCCTAGTGTTAAAAGAAAAATTTTATTTTTAGTTTTTAAAAGAAATTCATCACAATACCAAGACTCACATTAATAAGCATTTTCAATGTGAAATAAAGAAAACAAAGAAATTTTGTAAAATTTTTTACATTAAAATTTTATAAAGAATTGGAAAAAAAAGGAAAAATTAAAGTATTTTATGCCAAAATTTATTTGTTAAGAGTGTTAAAGATTTGATTTTTTCTCTCTGGAAATTTTATTTTTATAAATTTAAAATCCTTAACTTTTAAAATATTTTTATTATATAATATTATAAAGAAAACAAAACTTTTTTTTTTATATAGAATTCCGGCTAGTCATGTGTAATTAATTTTTATTACAGCAAATAAATTTTAATTTTATTTTCATGTTTTGTTTCTTTTGCCTGTGTTACTCTACATTAAAACCTTTATATAATTATATGCACATACGAACAATATTACTACATACATATATTATATACATACACAAATATCTAAGTAATGTAAACTTTTTTCTTCTTCTTCGATATTCTTATTCTTGGTTCCATTAAATTGAGAAAATCTCACAGGATACTATTATCCTTCCAATTCTTTTTTTGGTTATTTCTCTCATACTTTAACTTTTTATTCTTATTGCTCTTATTGTTGTTGTTATTGTTGGTATTATTGTTATTATTATTACTATTATTATTATTGTTATTTTTATTATTAATGTGGTCAAACTTAACAATCTGGAACGTGAACACAAATATGCTATATATAAAATATATAAAAATAAGAAAGTAAATACACATAATAATAATGTGAATCTGTATAAATGTAGGTCTATGACTAGATGCAGACGTATATGTCATAATATGTGATTATATTGTTAAGAAATATGATTGTAAATATGTATATCAAATGCATAATATGTACATATATATATAATATAAATGACTATTATAATATTATTATACTTGTATAATATTATATAAGCATATCAGGTTTGCCGCTATTAAGATAATTGAATTTCTCTCATAAATTTTTAGGTTGAATATTTTCTCTTGATATCATAAAAAAGAAAATATAACAAAAAAAAGAAAGAAAACGAAAATAATTTTATTATTATATACAGAATCGCCTGTCGAGAGAAATTTTATATTGAATTTATGTATATTAAGTGCGCTCTAAGTATATGTATATTTAAATATAACAATAAATTTATTTATATTTATCATAAATTCATTTAATATATTTAAATAATGAATGTAGTACAGTTATATATTTGTGTTTACATACGTATATGAATAAAATATGTAATGAATCTGGTATAATAATAAATTAACTTTGATTTACATTTTGGTGTAATGTTGTACGGCATTCTGTGCATTATAATATTATGTACATATAT